GTGTTTGCATGTGTCTGCTCCCGTCTACAGTTTTAGCTGTTTGGTGGTTGTTGAAATAGTTGTGTGAGCTTTAACCTGAGATTCTGGCGTTAAAATACATTTATATTGAAATCATTCAGGATTTAATGAATCTTTGAAACCCAGCCCTGTGAAGGATAAACATAAACATCAGTTTGCCTGAGACTAGCGCTGGGCGATATGACCCAAAATTCATATCTCCATATTCTTTAGCTGGATGGCGATATACGATATATATCTCGATATTTTTAAAGCCATAAAGTAAGAACAAGGAGAGAGTTCTTAGTCACAGCTGTGTCCCAGATCTCACACAGGCTTTTTATTAACATACAGCGCAGATGTACAAGGAAAGATTACTCAGAAATAAATTATCAGCACTTATTAAATAACAACGCTCCATAAATAAAACAAAACAGTAGCTCGTTAACGCCGTCCAGCCCCACGCACGGGGCGATCCGCGGGAACTCGTTAACAGAGATTTGTCCCGTTAATGCAGTTATGGCGTTAACGTCACGGTTCTCAGGAGGATGTAACTCACCGTACGGCACAGCTGTAAGCAGCTAAGCTCCTTCTCTGTAGCATCTGCATGGATGGAGGTCAAAGGTTGCACGAAAAGGTGTAAACATGAGGATCGTGGTGAGCCGAGGTCTGTGGGTCATGTGACTGGTGCTAATGTCACACCCCCGCTCCCCCACAGATATTAAGGAGCACGTGAAGCAGATCGAGAAGGCCGTGTCGGGGAAGGAGCCTCGCTTCGTGCTCCGCGCTCTGCGGGCGCTGCCGTCCACCAGCCGCCGCCTCAACACCAACGTGCTCCACAAAGCCATCTGTGGCTTCTTCACCAACAACGCCGCCACCCGAGACTTCCTGCTGGGCTTCCTGGAGGAGGTGAGCAGAGACGAGCTGCAGCTTTGAATTAATGACAAACAGGAAGTGAACTCTGACCTCTGAGAGCCGCATCATCAAACAGTAACCTGATTATTTATAACAAGGTGATCGATTCCTGATCAGATGGTGTGTGTGTGTGTGTGTGTGTGTGT